GCAGCAAAATGCATGAAAGAATTTAAACTGAAAAATAAACATTGTGCTTGTTCATGTTATTGGAGGGGGGGAGGTTGGAGGGGGAGAAGAGTAGTGATAGTGACAGGTTACGTACGACACGCAGAAAGTTCAAGTAATGAAGAAAAAAAAAAAAAAAAAAAAGGGAAAAAAAGAAAACGTAATAAATCGATTTTTTTTTGCTTTCTCTTTTTTTTTCTTCTTTTTTTTTTTTTTTTCTTCGTCAAAAATATTTTCATTCGACAAATATTATTATCCTCAACGAATATTCTCCGATAAATATTTCCTAAAAGAAAAAAAAAAAAAATTATAAAAAATGTAAGAGAAGATTAAATTTTTTTTCCCTTTTTTTTTTTTCTTTTTTTTTTTTTTTCTTGAAATCTCTCAAAAAATTCTCAAGTCGATGCCAATTTTCAATTCAAATAATTTGAATGAAAATTTTCACGATTAGTTCAAATTATTATTATTTGATCCTCGTCGATATGAACATTTTACGAAAATATATTTTTCAATTATAAATCGATTAATCGAAATTATATTTAACTGATTTATTATCATTGACGAAATCGTTTCAATCTTTAGTATTATTCGAAAAAGAAAATTTTCTTTTTTTTTTTTTCTTTTTTTTTTTTTCCTTTACTATTCTTAATCGAATATACGAATTTATTTATTTACGTAGGATTGACTTTGTGAAACTTTCAAACAGTTCGAAAAAATTCGACTATTTTTATTTCATTCTCCGAAGAAAGAAACGTTACCTTTTATTTTCTCCTTCCTCTTTTTTATATTTCTTCTCTCTCTCTCTCTCTCTCTCTCTCTCTCTCTCTCTCTCTCGAAATTTACGACAAATTTCCATTTGTTTTTTTATAAAGAAAAAAGAAATCTCAAAATCGTAGTATCTACGATTCGCGTTTCCCGAGGATTTTCTATTTCTTTTCCGTTAGAGAGAGAGAGAGAGAGAGAGAGAGAGAAAAACAAAAAAAAAAGAAGAAAAACAAAAAAAGAAAATACAGAAGAAGAAGAGAAAAAAAATAAAAAAAAAAACAAAACAAAACAAAACAAAGGAAAAAAACAAAAAAACAAACAAACAAACAAACAAAGATATAATACAAACGAATGCAAAGCAGTGCTGCCAGCTGTAATCAGATCGCTCGGTCGGTACTTTATTTTCCAGAAAATTAGAGTCACCCTTGCGTGGAATAGTAGCATCCTCTGTAACTATGTATACATATACATATATATATATATATATACACATACACATACATATACGTATTTTTACATATTTACAGACATATACATATATATATATATATATATATATATATATATATATATATATATAGATATTGTATATATATATATGTGTATGTGTATGTATATACGTAGGTATATATATGTTATATGTATGTATATGTGTATATATATATATATGTATATAGGAACATCGTATTTGCTTTTACATTCCACGTACAATAAGTGTTTAGGTATGTAAATAAATACATTGAGAACGGTGAATGGTATGTGTTAGTATGGGTTAAAAGCACACGGATGAGAAGACGAATAGTCATTTGGAGGAGCATTGTAATCCTGTCGTTACGACCGTAATCCTTTCACTGAAAGAATTGGCTCGAATTGTCTCGACATTTAAACGCAATTCGAAATAACAGGTTTTTCTATGGAAATCCGAAAAGTTTGTTGTTGTTGTTGTTGTTCTCGTTCTTGTTGTCTTTGTTATTGTTCGAATAGTGATTAAAACGATGATACATCTTAATTGAAATATTTTGCCTGATCACGATCACTTAGGATGTTATAAATAAATTTCAGATATTTTTGCTTTTTATATTTTTATTATTATTATTATTATTATTGTTATTATTATTATTATTATTATTATTGTTATTATTATTATTATTATTATTATTATTATTATTATTATTATTATTATTATTATTGTTATTATTATTATTATTATTATTATTATTATTATTATTATTATTATTATTATTATTATTATTATTATTATACTAATATTATAGTAAAAAAATAGTTGCATTATTATTATTGTCACAAAATTTACATAAATTTTAATTTAAATATAATATCTTTAAACATGATTTTCTCGAAAGCAGAGCCAAGAAAGAAAAAAATATTTTTTATATATATATAATATAATATAATTATATAATTTTAATTAAGATAATTAATAATAATATAATTATATATGTATTATGTTATGTATATATACATAAAACATTTTTTCGTTTGTATGTATATAAATCGTATATATATATAAAACAAATTTTATACATAAGGTTAGTTTTTAGTTTATAGTTTTATATATATATATATATATATATATATATATATATATATAATTATATATATTATATATATTATATATATATATTATATATATTATATATATTATATATTATAATATATATATATTATATATATATATATAATAAAAAATATATAA